GGTGGTGGTAGTGGTGGTGATGGTGGTGGTCGATTCAAGAGGTTTCTGAAGTGATCGGCACATCGTTCCCTTTGTTCCTCTTCTTTCGTAATTATATTTCCTTCATCATCTTCTATTGGTTTCATCTGGTTTGATCTCTTCCCAGATAGTAACCTGGTTATTTCATACAATGTTGTCAGGTCTCTATCTCTCTCTCTCTCTCTCTCTCTCACGTGCAGCCTGTTCTGCTTCACTTGCCAATGTGTAGTGGAAGTGTCTTTTGTCTTTGCGAACACTCTTCTTCACTTATACGTTGTACTCAGTTCCTCCTCCATTTGAGCATCCATGCACTGGTTCATCTTCTGCTTCACCACACTCCTCTCCCTCATCTATCAGCTTCCATGTGTCCATCGAGATCCATTCCTTATCTTCTCTCTTCTTCCTTCCTAATACGGTTATGCAGGTTTCTTCCCACATCCCTTCCAAAGAGTTCCAGTGCTCATCCACACAGGTTTCTTCAGGGATGTTGCTCGATATCTCCAATCTTATCTTGATGGCTGACTTGAAGATTTCCCTTGTAGTTCCGTCCTTCAGTTTCTGTTCTGGGTGTTAAACTTCAACTGTGGTCTATCACCGATTTCATTGAAGGCTTCCAACTTGATTCGGAAGGTTCCTTGCACTAGATAGTGGTGTGAACCTACATCTGCTCCTCTTCATGACCCCGTGTCAAGTAGACTGCGTCCTCACTTTCTTCACATTAAGATGAAGCCAATCTGATTTCTACTGAAGTGTGTCCATCTGGTGAAATCCATGTCGCTTTGTGGATATCCTTGTGCTTGAACACACTGCATCGCCTCCAATCACCAAGTCGCTGAATGCTCAGAAGTCGGCAAACGCTTCTCCATTCTCACTCATCATTTCACAAACGAGTGCTTCTCCACCCGTGATCAATTAGTTCTCTTCCTGTGTTGTCCACTCCCAGTTTCGCATTCATGTCACCCCATCCATTAGAATGAATCTTGATGTCGCCAACTGGGGTGGGGTCTTGTCCAGTGTTGATTGCGGTTGTCTGTAGAATTCCTCCTTGCTCTCTTCATCTGCATTATTTGTAGATGCGTAGCGCAGCATTGTACGATTGTGACTCCCCTTCATTTTGAGTTGAACCTTGCTGTCATGATCCTGATCGTGGAGGAGACTGGTTCCCACTGCATGACAGCCTTCGATGCTCTCGGGAGAAGGACATCATGATAGCCACTCCCTCAGTGTGCTCGTAGTTGTCGTCTGGAAGACAATGTCAGAGTAGATTATTGACTCTCCAGTTGACAGTTTGGAGAGTCCACTTCCATTCCACCTGCTTTCGCAAATCCCTTACACTTCAATACCATACCTCCTCATCTCTTTTGCAATCTGGGCGGCCTTGCTAGTTTCAAACACAGTGCAGACATTCGATGTCCCCATTCTTACTTTCGCTTTCATCGAGAGAAGAGGAGAGACACATAGGCCAATTGGCTCCCCGAAGGCTTTCACCAACCGGCGTCATTTCATCTCTCCGATTCCAGCAAGGAATCAGTTCCTATTTCTTCTTTGTGCTTTGAAGTTTGTTTAGAGGTCGGATTGGTTCTACGGAGTAGGGTTCCTAGCCCTACGCCCAACCTTCACTCTTTACCCGGGCTTAGGGCCGGCTAGTAACTAGTGAACTAGTTAACCAGGCGATGTCCTAATGTGTCTTCAAACTCTCCTTGAAGTTAAGGAGACAGTATTGAATCTGAAACTAACGAAAGCTGTAGGACATGACGGCTTCCAACTTGATGCTTTCAGAGATGGAGTTAGCAAATCGGTAATCAACAAGACGGAGGTACTTACTAGTGTATGGAACTAGGGTGTAGTCTCTTCACACTGGTCTATTTTTTCCTGTCACAACAGTAGGGGAATCAGTTTGACCAATATCGTGTCCAAAATCCTACACTCCATAGATATCCAATACCGAACTAGACATCAAGAACAACAAACTCGGGAAAACCAGGCAAATTTAAGACCTACACAAGCTCATGTCAATCAGATTTTCAACCTCTAACAGGTCGTGAGACACAGGAATACTCACTGGCCAATGGTCGATGGTGACATTCAACTCTGTCGACCATGAGGTGTTGTGACAGTATCTGACTGTGAGGGGACCAACCAACCAAGCATATTATGTTTATCAAAGCTCTCTACTCGAATTCATGCAACCGTGTAAATGCTTACGGAGAGTTGTCATCACATTTGACGACAACTAGTGGTCTCCACTACAGATGCCCGCTGTCACCCCCTTCCTATTTAACTTCATCGTAGACGTAATAATGGACATAACCTTTCGTTCCTCTGACTTCACAGGGATTCATTCATCTCCTCTCCCACCTGGAGGGCACCAACTCGACTTCCAGTATCCAAACAACATTGTCCTATTAGGTGAAAATGCTGACAAAATCCAGGGTCTTCTGAATGCATTGAGGAGATATCTGAGTATATTTGGTATGAGTTTTGCACTTGACACTTGCACTTACTTGGAGAGTTGCATCAGCCCCAAGCTGACTGGTTGCTGATGAAATTTCAGTTGGGATACAGAAGTCCCGTTTGGGATTTACCAACATGTGTCGTCTCTGGCACCGACTGGCAAGATATCCGACTGTCTATCACGGAATGAGAATGCCGTGCATTAGTTCGTTCTATTCTGTTATATAGTTGTGAGACATGGTTGTTAAAAGTGGAAGATATGAGGAGAATATACGGTTTCGAACTCAAGCGTTTTAGTGGCAAGCTTGATGTATGCTGTTTCTGAGAGACCTAAATACAATATCTCAAAGAGGTCCTGTAAATAACGTTTCCATCTCTCAGTTCAAAAAACGTATTCAGTGTACAAATCTGCAGATTCTGTGGTATTACCAGCCGGCCTTATTGGTATTGCATTGGTTTACTGCATCCTCATTAACAGTCGTTTGTGTGCTGCTAGACTACATAGGTTAGGTCAGAGTCCAAAGTAATTGGTAGGGGAAACAATTTCTTCGTCATTACTACTTATGCTCCAACTGACTGCAATTAAGGACGAGCTCTACCATAAACTGAATGATTTCTGTCAGGTGTGCCTGACATATATTGAGGTGCTAGCTGAGGACTTAAATTAATTGTTCGAGCGTGTAGATCCAGAGAAGGGTCATTCAGGTGACCGGTGGGGACAGTCGGTTGCAAGTTAAATAATAGGGAACGTTTTCTGCAGATTTGTGCATTTCACAACTTGTTTCTAGCCAGTACCAAATCCGGGCATAATCATCTTCAACATGATACCTGGTGATTTCCGTCCGCTACTTCATGTCCCAATCAGCTATCGATGATGTGGATGTATTCAAGAGTGCTGCCTTATCTGGAGCACCCGTATGTACTCTGATGACGCCTGAGTAAACGCCAAGTTCAACTTGCGTCTTCATTGTCATCAAGACCGTCGACCAAAACGCATCGATGTAATTAAACCTGTTTAACCCAGTATTGTAAGTGAATACCAAACGGAGCTAAATTCAAAAACTAGATGTTAGACCCCTGAATACTATAATCACTGGTTGCACCTAGAAGACACGATGGATAGAGCTTTATATGAATTTAAAGAACATCCTGCCAATCGACATTGGACCTCCAGGAGCTTGCAACTTCCTGACGATCGTCAATGTTTCCCGGTAGGCAGTGAATACACTGATGTGAATACGTCTCTTACGCAAGAGATCAAAGATCTCAAAGACTGCGATGTCTTGTGGTCAGAACGCGCGAGTGGGGTAGAAGCAGAAGTTGCAATAGTTGGAATTTCTTCCAGCTTATTCAAGCCATCCACATCAAGGAGCCTGATGTCAGTAAGCCAGCTAGTGAATTAGATGGTACGCCACAATCCATAACCATTTTAGACGCCTAGAACGTTGGGTGGAGCACTTCAAAAATCAATTCAACTGGCCTACTGTTCCAGTAATATCGACATAAGTGTCTTGGGTTCTGTGGTCGGCTAACACTGACCCATTTAACAAAGCAGAAGTCCCTAAGGAATCTAAAGTTCGAAAGCGCCATACAACACATAAACTAGACCACCTATTCATGGCTTTTTATGAGGAACGTGGTGGAATTGTAGTCCAAGAACTAACTACATTTTTTGGTAATCTATGGCAGACAGAGTGATGCATCACTCTGGAATGAAATTAATGCTGCACCTCTTTTAAAATGGATCGTGCAATACCTGTGATAACAAATGAGGGATCAGTTTATTGTCAGTAGCGTCTAAAATATTAGTCGTTATCATACTTTGCAGGCTGTGCGAAACGCATGAGAAGTTGGTCCATGAAAGTCAATCTTCGTTCAGGTTGTGGATGCATCGATCACACGTTCACAACCGTTACATGTTTGCACACCATCACACATATTGCAAGTCAACAATCGTATTTCAGTTTGGAGGTTTGAGGAGATTGGTTTTGAAGTGCTATTCATTATGAACCGATATAAGCTAGAGAACGACTGAAAACATGAGAGCACTGGACAACTGTCTCGTCCTTAAAATGAGACTCTTTAGCAGAGCACACTCACGACCTCGCAATGGACCGATCTCAAGGCCTTCAGGTGCCTCATGACCCTCTGGATAGGGTCCGAGAGATCATGCAACTCAGTGGCTTGAAACATTAGTGGACAAGGTTGAGAATCAAAACCATGCTGCAGTTCTCTTGTTTATGTTGTTGTTGAGAATTAAAACAAAAGTCACGAGTAAATCTTCGGACATATCTCTGGAACTGTTTTCTCCAAGATTTGGCAAAAAATATAGAGTAGACTTAGATCTGTACCTGAGAGTCCAACTAACTTGTGAAGACATTATACACATAAATACAGAGTTAATAGACTTCCCAAAGTCCTTAAGATGGAGGTATGAACAGTAAATAATGTCGGAAATATCACTCAGATGAAATCGTTCTTAAATGCCAAAATAAAATTGATAACTACGCAGACAATGTATAAGAAAACTACTGATAAAAAAGGGATTGTTCACTCACTCGTAATCCTTGCCATGGAAGACTGCCCCGAAGGAAATACATTAAGACATAGCCCAAGGACTCCATATCGTCCCTTCGTGATTGTTCGATACCAGCGTGTGAGTTTAGACTAGCATATCGTGCTGTTCCAATAAGAGACTTGTCTTCCCTATATGAAATATGCCGGCGTGTTCTGTGGTCTCTGATAAACAAAGTGATATGAAAGATAGGCAATAAACTGGTTTGTAGTTGACCTCAAAATTATACCACCCTGTCATTGATCTCACGTAGAATAAAGATTATTTGCAATGTAAATTAGTCAGCGAAAATGAGACAAATCCGACACTTTTAGTTACTGGTAAAGGTTACAGCTTGAAAAGGTAACGCGTCGGTTCAAGCTGTCCCAGTTCAAAACAGTACTAGAGGAAAAACTGAAATAAATCGAAAACTGAAAAAAAATGAGTGGAAGGAAAGCAAAAAAGGTATACAGGACAAGATATTCCTATTTAAATCACACATAAGAAGTATGTCTTTATCACTGACTTCAATTTTCAGACATTTCGCCAAGGGTTTGAAATCAATGGCTTCTAAAAACTTAATAACTCTTTACGACTCACATCCACAATGACGGAAATAATTTAGTGTTACCGTGTGTTGACCTCACTTCCAGCTATTACACGAACTTATTCTAGCACACCTGGCTAGTTGGTGGTTCCGCACACGCCACAACTACCTTAGTCAGTGCAGGTTCAAAACGTTGTTAACTAACATGCTATTCTTGTCATCACATGTAAGCTGCACTAAAACATTACTTCTGCAGTCACAACACCCACGAGCAACGAAATGAAAACTACTATGACTGAACATTTGTAACTACTTGATATATTTGACAGTGAACGAAATTTCTCATTTTTCAATAAAGATATAGGAATTCCAAGTACATTCATCATATGGACAGATGGTTGGTTGTCACAACGGTGTTGATGATGAAAACGCTTCGCATATTTGTGCCAACGTTGAATCAACAACCACTAAGAATGCAACGCTAGAAATATGTGAAGTGGTCGACGGAATCAACTAATTTAACAAATACCTAAACTGAATATTGAAGTGTAATACTTCAATGGTATCACCTTATGTCATACAAAACCGAAATGAAGATATGTCTCAGATTCCCTCCTAGTGTTCGGAGGACTCTTTATATGATCAACATCGACTGTGAGAAGCAGGTCGTCTAAATCTAAGTTGATCGAAGAACTTTTAAGAGAAAGCTAAATAGCAACGAAATCAGAGATAAGGCTGAACTCATCCCTACACATACAACAAAGCTCAATAAGTACTTGATTGAGGACTCTCCATCTGGTTTTTGTCATTATTCAGAAAAACTTTCCATAAAAAGTAAAATAACCGCGTGAGAGTAAAGTACTGAAGTTAGTGCTGATGATGTCGTCTAGAAAAACGATGAAAGCTTCACGATTAAACAACCCAGCTCATAGAACACAATACAACCAAGAGTAAAGTACTCTCACAAAGCTTCTGTATTTATGAAGTCAAATACCAACTCAAGGACAAACAATATGGTTGGTGTTGGGTGACGGCTAGTTCATCTTACCAAATAAGGGTGTGAAAAATACACTCTCTTCTATACCTAAAACGTACTTGGATCTTTCGAGTTTGCTGTTCTTAAGCTTCGATCAGAGGTCAGGTAACCATGAATCCTAAAATTTCTAAAAAACTACATACTAATTTGTCTTACATGAGAATTCTTGTCGCTTCTTGCAGACTGGGTGATCAAAGACAAGAATCAGTCAGTCATATTGACTCATATCCGACTTCCACACTTCAGCTAATAAATTATTTGATGTAACAAAAAATCGAATACTAAATGATTCGTTTGAAATGTATTTCAATGAAATTTGTATCCACTCTCAGTCAGCTAGAAAGTCAGTCCTCTATTATTTTAATCTTTACCATGCAAACCGTATACAATTATTGTAACTCTGGATTCATTTTGTATATTGTCAATGAGTGCAGCAAAAACAGAGATAAAATATAGTTCTAATGTCTACTGAAAAGTCAGTGTTAGTGTCACAAAAAGACTAAATTCAACGTAAAATTAATTTCAGTCTGTTTCCGTCCGATAAATTTCATCGCTTCAGAAACTCCATTATAGTAATCTGTAGCTACTTACAAGCTTTGGCTTAATAGTAAGAAGAATAGTTCATCAACATACCCTCTTTTACTCATATTGTTCTGCTTTACAATCTTCAGGTGACTTAACCCACATCGTTTAAGATGAATCTAAATATGACCTAGTCATTCGAGAAGATAAATGTGACTTCATTCTATAGCTTAGATACTTTGCAAAGCTGAACATCTAACTTTTACATAGTACATACAGTGACATATGTAAAACATTATTTGGACAGAAATTACGAAGCTCAAATTCACTCGTGGTTGATACAAACGTGCTTGGCAAATCTAAAGCTCCTGAGAACTACGCACTGCATAATACGGAAACGATACTAGGCTATTTGCCAAATATAAGATTAGTTTTAGTCACAAATAACGACGAATCACTTACAAAAAATATACCATGAGTGAATTTCCTAGTCTTTGCAGTATACTGAAGGTTAGGCTAGTCGATTTCGCCGTAAACGCGTCCAGAGTAGCAAGGATGTCAACTGGTGAAAAACACTTCTAGGTATTATTTCTTTTGTAGGTCACCTATATTGCACACGTAGAAGCTCGAAACATATATACAAAACCCGAGCGAATACTACAAAACACACACCAATCCCTCTAGTGATTACACTGCATTGTCCTCGTATCAGTTGTAAACGTGTAAAAAAATATGCCAATTTGTGGTTAGTAACTAACAAATTTTAAAATAAGCAGCGGGTACAAACACATATTTGGGACAGATATCTATTACTGTTAGTTGATTAGACTACAATTCTACATATATAAGGCAAATGCTAATTCGAACAATTTTCGTTTCTTACAAGTTCAGTAAAAGTTTATGAAGAACAAGTTGCTTTACGTCAAAGTCTGACATTGATCAAAAATTAACTTATTTTGAACACAAACTCGATACACGAACATCAAGAAATGAGTCAAACAAAATAATATTAACGATGTAAAGGGGTCGGAAATGAGAAGCAGAACAATCAAACAACAAAAAGGTGACTAGTCATGATTTTCCACAAGAAACGTCTAAAAAGGATGAATAACAGTTGTTACCTCCTATGGACACAGCCCACATGGAAACTATGATATGATTGCTACCGGTTTCCATTATGAACAGTATCTGATATTATCTCAAACCATTGAGTTGCATGAGCTCTGGTGCCTCGCCTGAGGGGCCTTGAGACAACAATCTATCCTAACACAACACAACTATTATTCATCTAACGGCACCACATCATTTGCTGATCAACTCTCCAGCTGGTCCCACAACTAGAAAAAAACAGTGTGAAGGTCGCTATGACTATGCTCATAACACACCTAAAGCACAGAAATCGATGTCTCAAGACTAAAGCACTCAATGAATGACAATTTCCATCACCCCCAAACACGCGCCACCACACCCCAGAATAATTTACAAAATGATTCCACTGTAAGCAGTGACTAAAGACTCAGTCGTCGGACGTCCTAAGCCCAGAGGTCAAGTTTTACAAGCATTGAGTAGAAATGTCCATAACGACGCACTGTACAATCGATCTCTTATAGTAAGACTAGCTTCATGATAAAGCCAAAAATGATCCAGATTGGCATATGGCGTCCTTGCTTTTGATATATGGTTCGAAATTTCACCATTCGGGTCTTCAAAAGCACTCATAACCAACAAGATACTCGAACCTACTATGTGACACAACTTTGCAATAGGGTTAAGTACAGGCACACACTATTGCCGAACTAAAAGAATTATTTAACAACTCGCTAGTGCAATGCACATACTACTCTAATGGACACTGATTGCTAACTGATTAATTAAAAATTGAGTAGTTTGTCACACAGCTAAACGATGTTGTTCGCACATTCAAGGTCGAAAAGTCTTTCTGCTGAAAACAAACCCACACCACTAGCTAGCACATCCTTTAGAGCTGTTTCGAGAATATCATCTATGGCCAAGTTAAGAGAAAATGGCGAAATCTAGCAAGCCTGTGTAACCATAATGTTGGGTTCAAACAGTGGAAGTGTAGTGTTTCGTGAAGTCTTCAAAATGTCAGCAAACTTCTAAAGAACATCACCCTCTAACAAATAGTGCACAGTGAGCATCTATTCCCAAAAAATTAAAGACAACCTCAATATCAACAACGATTACTGGCCTGCAATACGTGTGACAATGTTCAGCTATTTGAAGAAGGGTGAACACATGACCAATGCATTCTCAACCCGAAAGAAACTGAGTCTGGCCCTCAAGAACCAGTTTTTTAGACGTTTTGTCAAGTCCATAACACATGACAACCAACAATAGGTTGAGTGCATCTGGTAGAAAGCTAACACCCTGACGGCTGTCAAACAAACTACGTGGGTTCTTTTTTAAGGTAGGTACGAAAATGGTCTTACTACAGAGTCAATTGATTATTACTTCACGGAAAACCTAGTCGGTTTCCTAACTAAGGCTTTCCTTTTATTCCTTAAGAAAGTGGAGATTAAGTTGTCTTTTTTGACTTAGAACCTAGAAATCATTCTTGTTAGACATCTAGTCCGTTAGGTGGGTCAATTTTGAATAACCATGGGACACAGGAAAGTGAGGATGCTGGAGTATTTACTCAGATAAACTACCTTCCGAAATGATCTCCTCAGGATTTCAGGTGTCTTTGATGATTGTTGATCGGCATACCATCTACATCATGGACAAAATACACTCAGCAACTACATGTACTTTCCTGCGCTAGAAAATGAGTCACACCTGCTATGTGAAGGCTAGTGATACTACCCCATTACTCAGACCTCAGTACGTGAAGCGGTGTTCGAACCCTTAACCAAGGAGCTGAAAATCATGTCCCTGGATGGATGAGTCACAGTCCCATCATCTCACTATGTGCTCCTAGTGGCTCAAATAAGCTGAAACAGACCGGCCTGTTTTCAGATGTAGCTGCTGCTTGCATCACACTCGTGCGTTCTGACAGTCAATTCTTGAGATATGCAATCTTTCATGTAACGAACTTACGTGTATCACTACACTCGCTGACT